GTGTTTGCAGTGACGTCGTGTTTATCCAATAGCTTGAAACGTCGAATACTGTCAAAAAAACCAATGTTTCATCTGTAACATCGTTTAAATGTGACCTGGAATATTCAAGATCAATAGCATTGCATTGAAACTATGAGCTCGTAGTTCAGAAAAAAAACGGGAGCTGAGGGCATTTCTTGTTCACGTCGATCAATCATTTCATATGCAGTAATAGCTCGTCCCAAACTTTTCGTAGCTTCGTCACAGAAAGACGCTGCTTTCTATTACACCTTTGCTGGCCACTGTAATCAAGCAAGTACAGACGGTGCAGCTAGTCCAAGGTATAGTCTGCTAAAGGCGTTTGCATAACAACAACATCCGGTAGGCCATGTGCCATTACCGTCAGTGCGTTTGAGCCAGGCAGCGCCCGTGTACCGCGCCCGCCATTAAAGATTATCTACCAACTGAGCCATCGTCTCCACGTGCCCCTTAAAGCAAATTTTCTCATGGAAGCTGACGCCGTTGTGGAGCAACTAAATGACAAGAGGACGGGGGTGGGACAGCAAGCTGGAAGCGCAGCGGTGGCCGCCGAAGCCAGAACACGATCGCCACCGGAGCTAGACTACAGCCGTCGCCGAAGATAGACCACGGCTGCCCCTGGAGCTGGACCACGGCCGCCCCCGGAGCTAGACCACGGCTTCCCCCGGAGCTAGACCACGGCTGCCCCCGGAGCTAGACCATGGCTGCCCCCGGAGCTAGACCACGGCTGCCCCCGGAGCTAGACCACGGCTGCCCCCGGAGCTAGACCACGGCTGCCCCGGAGCTAGACTACGGCTGCCACCGAAGCTAGACTACGGCTGCCCCCGGAGCTAGACCATGGCTGCCACCGAAGCCAGACCACGGCTGCCCCGGAGCTAGACCACAGTCGTCGCCGAAGATAGACCACGGCTGCCCCTGGAGCTAGACCACGGTAACCAGCTAATAGTCAGCGTGATCTACCGGCCTCGATGACACGACGTTCCTACGCCGCATACCCACTTCACCGACCTCGAGACACAGCACGGGCGTGCGCTCATCGTGTGCGCGTGCTCGTACAAATCGACCATAATGCGCGGCGACCTGCATTGCTTGCTAAAGGCTGAGGTTGGTGGGGGCATGGCTGGCTGGGGGCATGTAGGCGTTTCGTTTTTTTTTTGCGAGGTTCTGTCTCGGCGCCCACTTTACCGGTCTGTAACTTTCGTGACATTCTTTTCAACAATTTTATCTAATGAATACATTGTTTAGAGCTGTAAGATTGTTCAACACTGCTACAGCAAACATCGCACTTTTAGCTTTTGATAGACTCGCCTGCGCCCGCGCTGACTTCTCCAACAGATGACGCAAACCTTTCGTAGCGCAAACTCGCTTCCCGAAACGGATTGATCATTTTGCTTGCAAGACGGACCTGCTGCGCACCGACTAGAGAATTTTTCCAGCTCGCTAACTGTTCGTGAATGCCTTCTTGCGCTGTATTTACCCACTATCGACTCACGCAGTGCTGTGCGATCCGACGCTATTCATACTCGCTCCACTTCAAGCGTTTCGGCAGCCGTGGCGATCCGAGGGCGCGTGGATCCGAGGGCGTGGGGATCCGAGGGCGTGGGGATCCGAGGGCGTGGGGATCCTGGGGCGCGGGGATCCCGGGACGCGGGGATCCGGGGGTGCGGGGATCCTGGGGCGCGGGGATCCTGGGGCGCGGGGATCCGGGGCGCTGGAATCCGAGGGCGCGGTGATCCTGGGGCGTGGGGATCCGAGGGCGCGGGGATCCGAGGGTGCGAGGATCCTGGGGCGCGAGGATCCGAGGGCGCGGGGATCCGAGGGCGCGGGGATCCGTGAGCGTGGGGATCCCAGGGCGTGGCACCGTGACGTTCTCGGTGAACCGGGGAGGGTTCGAGCGAACGCCGAGAGCTGCGCAGCGCGGCCCGCCTTGCCAACCCCCATTACATGTGCATCACCGACATCTATGGACGCACCGACAAACAGGAGCCAACCGGTTACCGGAGACAGGCGATGTGGCTCGGCCGCTGCGACGGACGTTTCGTGAGATGATTCCAGCGATACTTTGTATTTACTGGACAACGATAGCTGCCGACATGGCTGACGATGAGGCAACTCCTAAACGTGCATACCGCCTCACGAGCTTTCGGTGCCCGCTCGTCCCACTTGACGGCTGTCGATCTGGTCAGACCCACTACTTGACACGATCTTCGGTATGCTTGATGCAGACGCGAGGGGATCAGACGACGTTTGCATCTGCTGATTGATAGTCTTGATTGATAATGAAGAGATGCTTCCCGCGATCAAAAGCGTCATCACTCGCGTCGTCATCTCGTCTCTCACCTGGTCACCGGCCCTTGAAATGTTCCACGTTCTCGCCATTCTTGAAATGTCTCCCGTCCACGCAATCCACAAATCATGTGACTCCTCTGCTTTTCCCAACTGAATGCATATATCCATTATACCCGTTGTCACCAAATTAAAAGAGCGCGCTGTCTAACGACAGCTCGATCACTTCCTTTCCAGCGACCACCTCATTCCGTACTCCAAACACGAATTTCGTCCTAGAGGCCGGGAGGAAACCGAGCTAGTCACAGTCTATGACCTCATTTTTTGTACCAATGAGATCAAGGCAGCTGTAAATCTGGATATGACCTGGTTCTCATGCTTCCCAGCGGCGTGCGGGGGGGGGGACGCCCAAGACGTGACCCTGGTTGGCCCCCCGTCCTGTGCAATAGGGTAACCTCATGTCTCTCCCAAAGATGACATGCGGGAAGTGGGGAAGGGAAGGGGGGTCAGGGTTCTTTTTCAGGACCGCTGTCCTTAAGCGTGTCTCTAAAAAGCGTCGCTCTTCTTTCGGGTGAAGCAGGGGTGTTTAAGTACACCGATACTACCCAGGTGAAAGCGAGCGGTAAGAAGACAAGCTCACAAACCCAATTGGCCCCGTAAGAATTTATTTTATCTTGTGTCAGTTGACAAATCGTGCCGAGCTTATGTCCTGCTCTCAGTGTCCTCATAGTAAACGTCCTCATAACCTCATAGTAAACGTCGGTGAAGCGCAGCTGACGGCATTCGGTGGCTACCGAAACCTTCGTAATCTGCCATTTCATCGTGATCTTTTTTGCTGAAATCTACTTCAATCCGGTAGCGAAGCAAACGTTTTGGCTCTCGCCTTCAACCCATGTATGAGATGATATGTGCGCCTCCGTAGCTCAGGCTGCCGGGAATGGACGCCTTTGTCGAGGTCTACTACGTGCGTCAGGCGCTTTCGAAAGGCATTACCTCCACGCTGGTAATACCCTGGTCTTCCGCCAGGTCTGATACTTCTTTCGGATGGGAGAACCGGATACAGCATAAGCTTTACAGCGTGTGGCAGTATCTCTCCTTTGGAATTAAAGTACTTTTTGGTCGCCTTTGCGTGGTCTTTGCTCCCAGAGATCCATGTAATCAAAATGCTCACATAAAATCTTCATTTTCTTAAGAGGTACTTCTGCCAGTGCAAGCGTGTCATATGCGACAAATTATCGGCTTTGCTCATGAGCACATCTCCATGTAATCCTCCCAGTGCAAAAAGGCTGTTGCTTTAAGGCACAACAAAAGATAACATCTTATTCACGATCTCCATTGTTCATCAACGTATACCATATGCATGAGCTTCACTTGATTAAATGCATTCAAGCTTTGTACCGGCCGACGGGTATGGGCCTACCGAGCATCATAATTCAATTGCCGAGAGCACTACCAAGGTAATACAATTCATTAGGCATCTTGCGCATTAGCAGCGTGTCGTTCGGTCGTAAAGTGAATCAGCAGCAATGATTCGGCGAGGATGCCTTTTCGTTTCGTCAGATGCCTCCGGCCGTTGGTGTACTCAACAGCACAATCATGTTTAAAGGGAATGGTCCATAATTAAAGATATTGAAGTAAGCACCAGGTATGATGAAATTAAATCACTTATAATTATTTGTATACTTTTACACAGAAAAAGGTTCCTCCAGAGAGCAAAATGTCTCTGCTTTCTAAATATGCCCCTCACTGCATCATTGTTTGATTACGTCGTCGTACCTTTCACAACATTGATTGAGAGCCAGTTGACGGCTATTACATATATGGATGTCGTGCTCACGGGCACCAGATATGAACGATTCCACAATCATATTTTTCTTGGCCTTGATCGCCGCATAGCTAATGGGATTGTACGACTTGAGTGATGTCAATATGGCGTCGTGGATATCTGGGTGACATTGGAATAGTCTACCCGAAATAGGCTGCACGTCTTTCTGGACGCATAGTTCAGAAACTAGAGGGGTTTAGGTCTCAGGACTGGCAGCGCTTTGAAATGCATCGAATGATCTTCAAGATGGCTATTTCAGTTTGAAACCCCATAAAGATGTGGAACACCCCCTCTAAATCTGACAACGGCGCGCGCGGGGAAAGGCCCTCCTACTTGCGGGCGAGCTTTACCGCCTAATGTCTGCCGTCAGTCTTGAGTCGGTGAATGGTGAGTATCCCGCTCGGCCATGGCATGTAGTGGGCTCAGTTGTGAGGCAGGCTAAGAAGCTTTTTGGGCTGAAGCCACTAGTAATGGAATTTATAATCCGCAGCAATGGCCGAAGCGTGACCGAGCCACACCACAAAACGTGGGCTCGTCACCTGAGAAGTCAAACTTTACATCAGGTGCTTGGGTTCTCGCAGTGGATAAAAAAAAACCTCGCCCCACCCCCTATAACTCAAAATCTCGCCGATTCGGGCGTACCGAATGGACAACAAATGAAATGTTCCTGAACCTGTTCAGTTCGCCCGCCAAAGGCTCGACTCTGGCAAAGTTCGGTGGTCCCGCGTCACCTCGACGTGAACCGGAGCCGGATGGTCAGACGCGACGGACCATGAAAGACGGAGACGCGAGGCCCGTCTCGGTGGGCCGTGAGAGACGCGGGAGGCGCACGTCCCCTGAGCTCGTGCCCACCACCGCGACTCTGCTGCAGCGTTCCTGGAAGGTGACGACGACAACGGCACGTCGGCCGCTTCGGACAGATGGACCACGCTGAAGGCCGCAGCCATCGCCAGCTGCGAGACCGACGCCGCGGAACAGCTCGGTAGGCCACCTCTGCGCCACTTGTTAGACTGACGTTGTGTCCTTGTCACGCGAGTTGATTCTCGTTGGATTCTCATGGAGCCTTTGATCTACCGCCACATATGGCTCGTTGACGTTCCTACAATCTGCTCCTTTTTTGGAGCTGTTCGTGACCACATGCCGCGCATTGCCAGTAGTCTGGGGCTCCAGCTCTGTCGCGTGTGCTCCGACAGACGTCCTGCTGGAGGAGGAGCGGCTCGTCAACGGCAGCTCGCTGGTGCAGCCGCTGCTACTCTGCGGCCCGGCCGCGCAGGAGACGACGAGCAAAACGCAGCAGCAGCACTGGAGCTTCATCGACGCCGTCTTCTTCTGCATGACCGTCATCACCACCATCGGTGAGGCGAGGGACGGGACATGCTGGCTGGCATCGGCTCTGTGACTCGATGCCGATCGAGTGACTCCGGGAGAGGCCGACCTCACTGAACACTCCCCCTCCCACCCTCCCTGCTCGGCACCGGAGGACATAAGCCGGCTTAGCTTTGAGGTGTGTCTGGCCCGCAGCCAGAAGGGAACTCCACTCACCGCCGGGACAGAGGCTGACCAAGCGGCCGTGATGTCGTGTGGCGCTAGTCGGCGCCAGTGACACCCAGCCATGCATGCCAGCCCGGGCGGTTTATCGTACTGGGAACGATCCACTTCTACGATGCATGCATTCCAGTTTGCCTCTCAGGCTGCTTTTGGTCTGTTGCATGGTGAGAAGAAAATATGCCGCCACCCTGCCGCCACCTTGTAAACAACTTGGCCAGAACCCTGAATTACTGCCTTGAATCTTAAAATGGGCGCGCCTTTGACCAGTCGGCAAATAGGCACGCATTTGACCAGCCGGCAAATAAACACGCATTGGACCAGTCGGCAAATAGGCACGCATTTGTCCAGCCGGCAAATAGGCACGCATTTTACCAGCCAGCAAATAGGCACGCATTTGACCAGTCAGAAAATAGGCACGCATTTGACCAGTCGGCAGATAGGCACGCATTTGATCAGTCGGCAAATAGGCACGCACTTGAACAGTTGGCAAATAGGCACGCATTTGATCAGTCGGCAAATAGACACGCATTTGACCAGCCGGCAAATAGGCACGCATTTGACCAGTCGGTAAATAGGCACACATTTGAGCAGCTGGCAAATAGACACGTATTTGACCAGTTGGCAAATAGGCACGCATTTAACCAGTTGGCAAATAGGCACGCATTTGACCAGCTGGCAAATAGGCACGCATTTGTTCAGTCGGCAAAAAGGCATGCATTTGACCAGTCGGCAAATAGGTTGTGTACGTTGATAGATAACTCGAATTTCAGATGCATGTTGTCGGCGATGTCCAAAGAAAACTGGCTTCGTGGGTTAGCACGCCATTGACCTGAAACAGAACTTCTGCTGCCCACTCTGCGACGCGCATAAATCGCTCCTTGCGTAACACTGGTCACGCTAGCACTCGTCCGTCCGCTTTCTCGGCTGCTGCCTAGTCCGTACATCCCCTCCGCAGCAAACGCATCCGTCCGCTGTCTCTGCCGCTGTCTAAACCGTACACCCCCACAGCACAGGCGTCCGTCCGTTGTCTTTGCTGCTGCCTAATTCGTAATCTCCTACAGTCCGCGCGATCGTCCGCTGGCCCTGCTGCTGGCTTCCTCGTACATCCCCCCCCCCCCCCACGCGGTCACACTTCACACCACTCTGGCGTACTTCCGGGCGGCTGCACGAGCTGCGCCTCCAGACCGTTCTTATACAGTCGTGGGTTGGAGGTGGGGGAAACACGTACCAGCCGATCAGACGCTGCCTGCCAGGATCGTCCCAGCAAAACCTGCCAGACCCGGTGCGCCGTCACCGCGTCACGCAGTCGCTGTGCCACGCACCGTGTCACGCGCAGGGAGCTTGTGCGGCGGCCAATACGCTCCGGCCATTCGTTACATGAGTCCTTTGCACCTAGTCAAATAAATTAGACAGGGTTATTTGGCGCCAGGCTTGAAATGCACGAAAATTCGAACAAGTTAGAGCAAGACCCATTCTTGTCCTCAGGCCGATGAAAATAATCAGTAGATTTTGTTACGGAAACGTTTGTGTTCCGTCGTCGGGTATTCATTCATGTTCGTTTGCGACTTTGGTCACATGAGACCAAGTCGTAAAGTACCACAGACATGAAAGAGCAAATAGGCAGAAGGTAGCTCTTTCCACGCTGACGTTTTTCGACTGGTACCTGATTTCGTCCCACCGTGCTCATTTCACACACCTACTTTGGAAATCCGGGGTAGAACCGATAAACCGACAGCAAAGCCTATGGTTTTTTGTCAGGCGTCTACAAATTGCCGGTCAACTTTGTCCTGGAAGCGTTTTTGTTTTGTCCTCATTTCTACTTTTGCGTATTTAGTCCTATGGGACCAAATCGTAAAGTATCGCAAACGTAAAATTATGAATAAGTACGTGATGATACAGGTACGTGATGAGCAAAAATGCATCCGGCTTAAAAGTGCACAGCTGCTTGCTTTGATAGCCGTGATGACAAACCTTCGTTTCTGCTTATGCTACCTGTCGTGCATTTCAGATCTGGTACCACGTTATGTCCCGGGCTAGTAGTAATGCTAGCACGAAAAGGGCTATTAAGTTCATAACATCCGTGGTTTCCACACAAATATGTGCTGTCCGGGTGGTGCGAAGAAGTCACTAATGGAAACCGCCAGGCATCCAGATTGCTGCCTGGAATGGAAATACGGAAAACATTCTGTTTATCCGTTTTCTAGAGCCAACATTTCCAATGTGGAGGGAAGTAACGCTGAAGGTATTAAAGGCGAAGGCTATCCATGTCGGAGACAACCTTTCCAATGTAACCGCAAAACAAGCACCCCCGTTCAGTATTGCAGTGTTTTGCCGCTCCGTCTACCGTCACCTTTCCGTAGGTTACGGCCACATCTCACCGTCCTCGGCCGGCGGCCAGATCTTCTGCATCATCTACTCGCTGCTGGGCATTCCCATCAGCGGCCTGCTTCTGGCCGGACTTTCCGACTTCTTCGCCGGCAACCTGCTCAACTTCTACGACTCCAAGTGGGAGAAGAAATACGGAAAGTCCAGGTGACATGACGTCTGAGCAACATAGAGTCGCAGGGATCCCGCTGTGGTATAAAAGAGGCATCCAGAACACGCATCCAGCCTTGAGTCCTGCCCTACGGCGGTTTTCACTTTCATTCTACGAAGGGAAAGCCTCAGAGACCTCCTGAGATCTCTATAATTGAGCAAGCTAGAACCACGCGGGTATACGCCATTGGAAAGCTCTTGCTTAGCTGCATCATGAAGATGTGAATGATGGTGAACAATGGCGAGTGTGATCTTTATCGGATCAAGTCAGTTCATAATAGTCAAATTAGCACTTTATGGACAGTTTTTTGTCTCAATAACTAAACATGCTGGGACACTGCTGAGAACGCTTGATAGTCCAATGCAACTCTTGTCAGCTAATGTTATGAGGTATATGAGTTATGAGGCCTGAGTTGAGAGGTGTGAGGTATGAGGCCTGAGTTGTGAGGTCTGAGGATGTGGTCTGAGTTGTGAGGTCTGAGGTGTGAGGTCTGAGTTGTGAGGCCAGAGTTGTGAGGTCTGGGGTATGTGGTCTGAGTTGTGAGGTCTGATGTGTGAGGTCTGAGGTCTGAGGTATAAGGCCTGCGGCCCGAGGTGTGAGGTGTGGGGTATGAGCTCCGAGGTCTGAGGTATAAGGTCTGCGGCCCAAGATGTGAGGTGTGAGGTGTGAGGTCTGGGGTATAAGGCCTGCGGCCCGAGGTGTGAGGTGTGAGGTGTGAGGTCTGAGGTATAAGGCCTGCGGCCCGAGGTGTCAGGTGAGAGATGTGAGGTGTGAGGTCTGAGGTATAAGGCCTGCAGCCCGAGGTGTGAGGTGGGAGGTGTGAGGTGTGAGGTGTGAGGTATGAGGTATGAGGTCTGAGGTATAAGGCCTGCGGCCCGAGGTGTGAGGTGGGATGTGTGAGGTGTGAGGTGTAAGGTATGAGGTCTGAGGTCTAAGGTATAAGGTCTGCGGCCCGAGGTGTGCCCGTCACGCTGGCGTCATGCTGACGTCCCCAGATGGAGCCTGGCGGGTTTTACCGCCCTCTACCTGCTGGTGGGTTTCCTGCTGTTTGTGTTCGCACCAGCGCTGGTGTTCACTTGGCTGGAGGGCTGGAGCTACCGCGTATCCGTCTACTACGCCTTCATCACCCTCTCCACCATCGGCTTCGGCGACTACACGGCAGGTCAGGGCGGAAGCCAAGCACCGGAGGGCATCCTAGTCGGAGGAACGCCCAGGAGCCGGCCGCGTATAAGCTGCCTTGGTGCATAGTATGCAATGTCAGATGGCGCGTGTTTTCGGACGATATATGAGGCTGGTTGATGCCTTTGCATCCTACGCATTTGGACTTGCATTGTGTTTTTGTTCAGAATAAGGATAAAGCGCGTTTTCAGTGCCTCACTCGAATCATAGACAGGCCCTGGGCACGCCCCATGGTCAAACAGTTCAGAAGTTTAAAGAATAGCACATGTCTACTGAATTGAACACCAAAGTGCCTATTGAAGCTAGTGGTGACAGGTAGCGTCATGATATCCTTGCTCATGTTAACTGATGCCCTGACTTGTATTTAGATAAGTTATAAGAACTCCACCTCGTGTGCGTTGCTCGCGCTCCTTTCACGTCATGCTCCCTCTTAAAAGAGCACCGCATGTGGCTTGGAGACGCTGCACACCCGCCCTGACCCTACCCTGGGGCGTGCGTCGGCAGGAATCGCGCGCGACGACGCCTGGACATCGGTGTACAAGGTGTTCGTCATGCTCTGGGTGCTGATCGGCCTCGGCTACTGGGTGCTCGTACTTAACTTCCTGCAGAAGGCACTCAAGTCCAAGGAGGTGATGAAGACGCTGCGTCAGACGTCCAAGCTGATCGCCAAGGAGGCTGACGAAATTCGACAGGCGCTATCTGAGGTCGGCCTGCTGCACCGCGACGCCGTGTTCGTGCCCGAGCACTCCAAGATGACCATGAGCATGATGATGAACATGAGCACGATGCTGGCTGGCGGCGCGCAGCAGGTGGCCGGCGAGGAGGCCGGCCGGCCGGACCAGCTGCGCGGCATCCACACGATGGGCGCCAACCTGCGCTCCAACAGCCTGCTCAGCGCGCTGATGGCCTCAATGCCGGCGGCCGGGCCATCGGAGGCCGCCACTAGTCCGGCAGAGCCGCTGCTGAGTGCCCGGCCGCCGGCGGAGGAGAGGCCCCAGGCCGCGGCAACGGCGAACGGGGACGACAGGGGTGTCTGAACAGGGCGGTGGTGTTTGATGATGTCTGAGCAGGGCGGCAGTAGGGCGGTGATGTTTGCACTTGTAGGCCTGCGGACATCTTTGGGCCAGATCCCGGCATTTGCCGCCAAATGTCGGTAGACTCGTCGACGTAGTGTTGCCAGAACATGGCTAGTGTGTACCAATGCGAGGCAAGTGACACGGTCATGCGAAATACCTGGTGTAATAGTAACAATCGTTTTGGCTAGTATCTACACCGCAGTATCTGTTGTGGCAAATTTCTTCGAGCGCCCATCTTTGGGAGCGCGTGGCACGCGCCTACAACGCATTTATCCTCGTTCACTGGAGACACGTCGCTGGTGTCACGGGATGAGTACAACCTTGAGCGAAGTCTTAGCTTGATAGATAGTACTGACTGACAAATACGGCACAAGTGCACACATCCGGTGCTAAATAAACACATGCTTTTCGTTTGAGATAGGCCATATAATATACAGTTTGCGGAGAAAGAGTCCAATGAAAAAAGGCCGGGTGGGTGAAAGTCAAGCGAAAAAGTCGAACGGTGAGAAGGTGACATGGATAGATGTCGAACAGGAAAATAAATTGAACGCCAAAAAGTCGGTATGAATGACAACTGAAAAGCACAAAAGTCGAAGGGCAAAAAGTCGATAGGAATGAACGTTGACGGTGTTTTTTTTCCCGGTGTTTTTGAGTGAACTAATGGTAATCAGCAAACCATATTTCTTCTTGCGAAATAACCAGCGAGGACCAGGAGCTAGAGTGTGGTGTTTATGAAATAACCAGCCGGAACCTAGGGTCCAGGATCTCCTTCTTAGAAGCAAAAGTAGGAACCAGGAACCAGCATTGGGAACCAGGGACGTTTCTGGCCAGCACCAGGACCAAAAAGGGTTTTACAACGAGCGCCAGCGCCGTGTGTCGTCTCCTGCCGGGGCGCTCGCTCTCTCTTTCTCTATATATATGTATATATATATACATATATATATATATATATATATATATGTACGTGGAAGCCAAACCTCCCATGAATACCTCGATGCGTATAAAACGCGTTCATAATCGAAACTCTTCGAAGACTACACACTCTAGAATTGTGTGGGAATTTGTTTGTTTGGGACCGGAGATAGTTCATTGATGAATATGCCTGTCCAAATTTGAATGAGTCTTCCATCATCGCATGCCTGAAGGATGTCAGTGCTGTCCGTCAGCCGCCATGTCAATGTCTTGTCACGCTCATGTCGCAATTGCTCCAGATGTACCCCGTCGCATGAAGACATTGTCAGGCGTTGTGAGAGTGTCGTTATGGTTACACCAATGTCGTGTGTGGGACGAAGTTTGCAGCCTTCGGGATTTACAACTGAGTTAATACGCGGCATCGGTGAAAGTTGAAGATTTCAAAATTGGCGTGATCGGATTACTTTTAAACGTGCATTGAATCATTCTTGCGACTGGACGAGATTAAATTCTTAAATTCTGTAAGATTTAAAATAAGATTAAGATAAATTCTTAGATTCTTAAATTTATTTTTTGTCAATAAATCGTTACAGAACTCATACCGAATATTCTCAAAAATCGGGGACCATGGCCCCCTTGTTCTCACAGTCATGAAACCAGTGCCAGGTTGCTTTAAGCTCCAAATGCGTAGCACCGCGACGATTAAAGGAATTCTTCACTCCAGGAGTTCGTTCGTATGCTCACGAGATGATTTGCAAATGTTTTCAACTGGAAACGTTCCCAGGAGCTAAGGTCTGCTTCAATGGTCATATACTGCATCAGTATACTTATAACCAAGAAAATTTAGCTAACTTCCTCCACGTAACGTCACCAAACGACGGAAAGGTCAACTGCTGCTATCAGCAAATCCCACCAGATGGATCTGACGTGCCATGGTCAGGCAGCATGAGTATGAACTGTCAGGAGGGCTCCGTGAGCATGCCGAAATAAGCCGTGCAAGTCACAAAATACCGGTAGCTGAGGCAAACGGGCGCGGCATGACTCGCTTTATCTGCGTTGGTTGCTGCCAGTCAACCCTTTGTTGCCTCTGTGGGTGGATGTACGGAAATCCCGCCGCGCAAATCAGAGCGCCGCCCCATGCGTGGCCTGGTGGCTGCTGTTCTCACATTCTCGTGGCTCAGGCTGCCCGGGATGAGTCCTCTCACATTACGCTAGAGGTCTAGAAATGCATCGACGCCAGATATAGTGGCGCTGAAGGCGTTTCCTCGCATGTGTGAGCGGCGAGGAAAAGGCCGCTACCACTTGGCGCTTGGCGTGGTGCCTGTACTTTTCGTGTTCGTAACTCTTATATACGACGACATTGCTTACAACTTATCTTATGCGAGCGACTAACAAGACGTTTTAGAAGGACTTAAAACGTACAGCTATGTGTGCAGGTTCGCTGGGGTTTTAAGTGACCAACTGAGGTTTTTGACGACCAGTTCGTCGGTCCGTTCTTGAATCGTGTGGCTCAAAACGGAATTGAGAACAGAAACGGAGAGCCGCGAGGGTCGGGGCGAGGGCAAGGAGAAGGTGCAACGGTGTGACTGGATACATCACGCCTCCGGCACGCAGACGAGTAGGAAGTCACAGTTGGGTGTCGTTTTCGGTATTTGTGTGGTACTGTAGACGTGCGCAAGAAGTCAATAAGCTGTCAATTTGCGATACGCTCCGCGTCTTTTTTCATTTTGCACGGTATAATGCAAACAGGGCGCATATCGAGTGGATTGTTGGTAGTTTTCCCTTTTGGGTATCCATGCAACTGTCGCGTGCTTCCACTCTGCTGGGACACGCCCGGTGACAGGGCTTGTGCTCACAACATCAAGGAGGGCATGGCCATAGCCTTGCGCAAATACCTACAGCATGGTAACTGCTCATCCCCAACTGTTGCAGTCTTAAGCTGGCGGTGAGGAGAAAATGTGAGTAAATGCCGATTTATTCTAGTTCAAAATATTCCTTTTTTCAATTTCAAACGTTTAGTTTATATCTGTATTTGCTTAGCATATTGCTGTAAAAAATGTAGCTGAATTTTAGGCTTCGTGACTACGATAATCTGCTGTGATGAGCAACGTTTTAGAAAAGGTCACTTAAAAGTACCTGTTTTTAAGCATGAATAGTCGATAACATCTAGCACTCACAACGGAAGCTTTAAGACACGCTCAGGTGGGGGTCAAACTGACCCCCAAAGGTGTATCCGGCATGATTTCCGAACGGCGTGGCGTAGCCGCGCCAAATTTTGCATAGCTGTAGACAGTTGAATAGCAAGTTGTCTGGCATCCAACATTTAGATGCACCTTGTAAGGTAACTGGCCTATGGTAGGCCCAAGTCAGGCCATCGTTTCAACGAAGGCAAGTTCTAGGGGATCGTTCAATCTGATCCAACAACGGAGTGTTAGACCACGCCATACAGCTCTGAGATACTTTCTTAGGTAACACGACAATGAATGAACAAATCATATTGACCTAGGGTCAGGTATGAAGATCAGACCAAGGTCAAAAACAACCTGTCATATGACTCTAGGGCTTGCTGTATGGGTTAGTTTCTGGTGCTCATTTCGATTTTATTGATTACAAGAAACGCATCATATACCTTTCATGGACTTCCCAAAGGTCAGAATAGGTCATTGACCTAAAATAATACAGTCAAACATTTTGTTTTAAGAACATACCGCCTAGCCGTAACCTTTGTCGCTTTTTCAAATGCAAAACACAAAGCAATCTTGTATGGTTTTGGTCAACATGACCTTCAAACAGTCAAACATGGTCACTGACCCTAAATAAGCATGCAAACTTTTGCTTAGAGCAGTCCTCTAGGTTCTATAAGCCCTTTGGAGACCAGCATGGAATTTCGTGTATCTATCTGTGCTGTATAGCGTAAACCCATAGTAAAGCACTACGTTGGATTCACGGGATAATGCCCTCATATTCGCATATCTTTTTGTTTAGCAGAATGTTTCAAGCTTTTGTAGCATTTGTTACACAAACATCTTGAGGTAACAGTGTGTTGTAAACACTACAGAACACACACGTCGGAAAAACGAGGCAAATGAGATGTACTACTTTCATAACAGTAAACATGGAACCAAGTGAGATTTCGCCCCCGGGGTCGGCTACTTCAAATCGAAATTCTGAGCAAGTCAGAAGGATTCCGAGAAAATTGGCGCTACTGATCGAGTCGTAAGCGTCTGATGTAACAATAAGTGAGAAGTACGTGAAGTGGGATGAACCCCTTAAGGCAGATTCACATCACTGACCCACACTCCTTTTTTTCTTCTCATTCGATTTGAATTGAGGAAATACATCGGCGCGAGCAGTGACTGAGATTATTGATTGAAGGTGGTAGTTATCTAACCAAAGTTAACAATGCACCATTGGTAATGTTTAGTACCACTGGTTATTTTTGGCAATCTGACGGACTGACCGATCTGGACAAGCTGCTTGGCTGATTTTTTAGACACTTGGACGGACTGCTTGGCTGATCCTTGGACTTCGAATTGGACTTTGGACAAGCGATTCCAGAAGACGGCACGTCTGCTGGAAATGCATGGAAGGGTCAACTTTCTCTTCTCAAAATGTTGAGTTACAATTTGAGAGGCGAGAGAGCCACCCAGCCTAACATCCGTTCGGGAACCAGCCCAGCAATGGTTGAGAGACCGTCTCAACATTGGTTTGGACACTGGCCCGACGTTGATTGGGGGATCGGTCCGACATTGGTTGAGGGACGGGCTTAACACGCCACCGGGTGGCCGGTTGGCTGGCTTAACACGCCACTGGATGGCCAGTTGGATACCCTTCGCTCGGGTGCGGGCGGGGAGCAATATGACCCCGCCCCACTGAGATCATATAAACTAAGGGAGCTAGAAACATAAAATTCACAGGCTGTGTTGACCTGCACGTAAAATAGCTTGGGTCAACATTTAAGGTTCTTAGGTTATGACTTTCGGGTCAAAGAAGGTCAAACAAGGTCAAATTCCAGGTTTGTCTCTCAAAGGCTCCCAGAACATAGAGGGCTGTGCTAAGCAAAAGGTCACATACTCATATAAGGTCAGCGACCTTGTTTGATCTTTTGTAGGTCATGGCGACGAAAATCGTACAAGACTGCTTTGAGTTTTACATTTGGACAAGCGAGAAAGATTACGCTATGCGCTATGTTCCTAAATCAAAATGTTTAACTAGGTCATCTTAGGTCAGTTGTATTTTCTGACCTTAAGGAAGTCCACGAAAGACGTGTAATACGGTTCCTGTTATCAATGAATTGGAAATGAGCACCAGAAACTACCGCGTACAGCAAGCCCCAAAATTATTAAATAAGCTGATTCTGGCCTTGGTCTGACCCTTACACCTGACCTCAGTTCAATGTAATTTGCTAGTTTCATTGTTATGTTGTCTAAGAAAATATCTCAGAGATGTATGGCTTCGTCTAGCACTCCGTTGTTGCATCAGATTGAACGATCCCCTAGAAATTGACCTCGCTGAAACCATGGCCTGACCTTGACCTGCCATAGGTCAGTGAACTCACAGAGTATGCCTAAATTTTTAATACTTAACGATCCGCTATTCAATCTTCTACATATTAACAAAATTTGGCGCGGCTGCACTGAGCCGTTCGGAAATCAC